TGAATTTTCTATTTTCTCTCATTCTCATTTCTCTACCTGAAACAATACTTATATAGGCAATAATTCATGATAATCTGAATAGGATTAGCCTTATCCAAAATAGGATTAGCCTTATCCAAAAATAGGATTTTGAAGATAGTCGTCTTGAAGGACCAGAGGATAGACAGACTAGAGAGGCTCTGGTCCTCTAGAGGCTCTGGTCAATACAACCAAAGGCTCTGGTCTTCTTCACAGAGGCTCTGGTGTCTCTTACACAGGCTCTGGTTTTGAAGTCTTCACAGAAGCTCTGGTGTCTCTTCCAGAGGCTCTGGTTCTTCTTACAGAGGCTCTGGTCGTCCATACTTGGTCGATTTAGCACAGCGGCTGGTCTTCTTCCAGACTTAGACGATTTGGCACAACCGCGTCTTCATATGATCCATTTTTAGCCCCGATTGCTTAATAAAACTTTTTGAGATAATTATTAGGATAAATTTGATGCTAACAAAGATCAATATAGATTTTACAAGATTGTTTGCGGAAAGATAAGGTAGTAAAAACCTATCTAAACAATCTTTAGTTACACACTAAGTCTTAGCAAATACAAGAAAAGAAAAATGCTGTAGAGAAGATCCTTTACTTAAGCTAGAAAATGCTTGAAGTAAGAATTAGGGTTAGAGAGTGAGTTGTGCGCATTCTGCATGGAGAAGAAACACTTCTATTTATACCCAATGCATTAAATAAACATTTAATGCAATATGGTAGGGTTAGAGTGCGTGTCAAGCCTTAAGAGGAAGGCTTGTCCTTTGCTACAGTGAAAAGTACAAAAAGCACTATTCATGAGCAGACATCCTTACCTAAAGTTGGTGGACAATAGAGTTGACTAGTCGGCTCTGTACCGTACCAACTTTCATAAGGGTATTGGTTTTGTCCTTTGTGTGCATAAGGACAAGACAACAACAATCATGTTAAGCAAGCTTCCTTTGATCGTTGAATGCTGGAATGACCTGAAGGTGTCATCATCATTCGCTGAAGCTTGAGCAGTCTTCACACATATGTAGACAGACTTGTAATCACTGAATACCGCTTTAGATCACGTACTCGCCAGTCTCTAATCTTCAGTTTCAGTCTTCAACGTTTGCTGAAGGTTCTTTGGTATGAGTGTTGTCTTCTTGAAGTATTGTTGTCTCTGATAGATTTACAATGCAAGTTCTTCAACGATCACTGAACATACTTAGTGAAGATCGCTGGAACTAAAAAGATAGAAACATAAATACAACGCATAAGTGAAAAGGGATTATCATCAAATCACTGAGAGAGAGAGGGTAAACAATTTTCAAGATTTAAAGAAAAGCTTGTCCTTTTCTACAGTGAATAGTACAAAAGCCTATTCATGAGCAGACATCCTTTCCTGGAGTTGGTGGGTAATAAAGTCAACTAGTCGGATCCGTATCGTACTATACTTTAGAAAGGGTATGAGGTTGTCCTCTGTGTGTGGAAGGACAAGACAAAAACAATCTTGCAAAACAAGCTTCAATTGATCACTGAATGCTGGAATAACAGTAAAGGTCTCTTCAGCATTCGCTAAGGCTTGGGCAGTCTTCACATATATGTTGACCAGGTTGTAATCATTGAATGCCGCTTCAGATCACGAACGCGCTAGTCTCTAACATTCAATCTCAGTCATCGACTTTCGTTGAAGGTTCTTTGGTGTGAGTCTTGTCTTCTTCAAGTATCATTGTCACTGTAGGATTTACAATACATGTTTCAGCAATCACTGAACAGACTCAGTGATGATCGCTGGAATTGAAATACAAAAACATAATACTTGATAACAGGTAAAAGAGATTATCATCAAATCAATGAGAGATGATTAACATATAAATAATTGAGTGTTGTCCTCTCAATTATCATTCTTTCTCACTACTAACTTACCCAAGAAGTTACTTCTCTCTCTACTCTTTGTTTAAGAGAAAGAACCACTTTAACAAGTGAAGAGCACTTTTATTCTTCTTTATTTCTTGTAGAAAATATTTTCTCTTTGCTATTTGTAATTATGTGTATCTTGGATTGTGTAGTTAGGTTCTTTACCTTATCTCTTCCACAAACAATCTGTAAAATTTGTATTGATCTTTATCAATATGTAATTTTTAAAAGTGAAAGTTTATGAGTTTGTATTCATCCCCCCCCTTCCCTATAACTCTTGTAGATCCGACTGGGACCAACATGGAACATGAAGCATGAAGGAAAAATATCTTGATTGTTAGCAACAAGTAGCTTTAACCATGATGGAGTACTACAGTAGATGATCAAACTCGGGAAGAACCACACCGTAATATAGTTCAAAGAAAAAGTTAACTTTCGAGATCACACATCTTTTTTGGATTGATGATTGACATCAATTTTCTTAACTTTGTGATCGAGGGTAAGTGTAAAATTATTAACCACCAGAAGAATAATCAGGTTCATTGAAATAAACTAACTTTTCCCTCTTCCGAAGAATGTTCTTCAAATTGATCATGTGTAAGACGTGTATATAGTCCAAAGAAGTAATGTGAACTTCTAGGATTTAGCCTTTTCCCTACCAAGGTTTAAAACAAACATTGCAAGATAAACAAACATACATCATCATAAGGAAGAGAACTCTCACTAAGTTAGAAATAAACACCAAGTGAGAAATGTTGTTCATATTCAGTAATTTGCATCACATGAGCATGATAATTCACAAAGCCACAACTCTTTAATCCTTCGGTACTTAAATCAAAACGAAAAGAACCCCAATTGTTTTCTTTGATGATTCGGTACTGAAATCACAATGAAAAAAAAAACGAATCACCGTATGATTGATTACATGCATCAACAAGAAGACCCAAGATCACGCAATTTGAAACATTGTTCAAAATCAAATCATAAACAATACGCTTAGAAAACATGATTTTAGGGATGTAATATGTACTTACCGCTAGTGAATGTCCAGGTTAAACCGATTGCAAAAGCAAGAGATGTAGTGAAGATCCTGAGAAGAAAATAGTTGATTGGATGATGATGATGATAGTAACACAACGAACATAGAGCTGTACAACATCAAATAGATCCTATTTAGCTCACCATTACATAGATTCAAAGCACAAATCAAAATGGAAAAAAACCCTAATTGTATTCTTTGATGATTCGATACTGAAATAAAAAATGAACAAGTCAATTAGTTCACTATTACACAAATTTAAATCACAAATGATCTTGTACAGAAGAAATAAAACCAAAATTAATGATTCTATTATAACTTACTGATGAATGGAGTAACGATTAGATCAATGTAACAAGCCAATCCACCTCTGTTAGTTGTTAAGAAAGTGATGGTAGGATGATTAAATCGCTATCGATCCCTAATTCTAATGAAATCAGTATCGATCTCTGAATCTGTTGAAATCAATAGATATCAGGTTATGAATCAAGGTTAGCGCCTTACAATGATATAAGGATATGGATCAGGGTTACAGCTGATAGAGGATGAAGGATACTATCACAATCGGTAGTTAGCGAGTTAGAAGGATACATGGTTTAATAAGTTGTACCAAAGCAAAGAAAAGTTGTAAACTTGAAAATTAAGTAATTTAGTAGTAACTAGCAGTACTTAACGCTTAAAAAGTTGTTTTTAATAGTTTTAGCCAAATGTTTTATAATATAGTGTAGATAAGGAAAATTTAGAATTTTTTAGATGGTATCATTGGTCATTTTTATTAATTATAGTGTTTGTTTTGAGAACCTTGAAGTCAAATTATATGCGTAGTTCAACCGTCGAATTCATATAGTTATGCAAATGACACTTGCTACCTTTTGATTTTCCATCATCTGAGGTCATTTATGATACTACTTCATGCTATCTATGTTACCGTTACTTTGGTTATTGAATTTTATTATTTGTTTCAGTAGTACTGCATATGTTAACCAAATATATAATCACTTGATAATCTTTTAGATACCATTATATTTCTAGGTTTTTCATAATTACGGGTTATCATATGATTGGATTTGTTATTTTATGAATATTATTGGTAAGTTTATAACTTAAAGGTCATACAAAATATTATAATTGTTATTTTTATGTATGAAATAAAGAAACAAAAAATAACATAGTTATCTTATGCCACACAAACCACAAGTTGTTTTTGCTTATAGTTGCTATACATGTATTCGAAAAGAGAAGCTCCTAATATAAGATGTACATGTTTGTGGTAGTCGTAAATCAATGCACTAGTAATAAGTAACCTTATTGTATTTGGGAATTATAACTTTTACCATGCATGTGGTTTGATTTATTTGTCAACTTAATTTAAAAAAATTTATCCATTTATTTTAAAATATATCATTTAATTGTAATTTAAGGAGCAAATAATTAAACTACGATTGTTACTAATATTTTTCATCATACAACATATTTCATAACACTATTTATTAATTAAATAAGTTTGAAACCAATCTTTATAAACCAAATTTGACAATAATAATTATTTTGAACTCTCAATTTTATCACTATAAATATTACATATAAACTTATAATGTAATTAATTTAAAAATAAATTAATAAAACAAAATATAAAATATTTAATATATGCACAATGCACGGACCCAATACAACTTAATAATAAATGACAATAATTAAGACCACAAATGTCTGGTAAAAGAAAAAAAAGACCACAAATGTAATTTACTCTCATTTGTGACAACACCAAAAATGATAACCACCACTAAAAAACATGTTGGAACACAACCTCTCATTAATCTAATCCAACAATACTAATCCCTTTTCTCAACAACCTTGGCCACCAAAAACAATCCCCCCCCCCCCCCCCCCCCCCCCNTCTCTCTCTCTCTCTCTCTCTCTCTCTCTCTCTTCCCTGGAAAACAGACCTCCCTGCTCCCCAATGCCTCCGCCATTTGAACTCTCTCAACCCTAATTCCCCATTAACAACCACCACCATTCTTCTGGGTTTTCTTCCGATTCAAAGGACATCTGACATGAAATGTGGCTATCCCGGAAAAATTCAAGCAATAGTAATCAAAGTAGCCCAAGATGTAGAACACCACCAAGTTTTAATCGACATTCCTTCAAAAACATTGGGGATCTCATAAGTGATGATGATAAAAATGTTGCTACCACCAATGACTTGAACAAAGATCAGCAGCAACAGCAGCAGAAACATCAACAACCCTCTTGTTCATCTCCGACTTCTTCCCCACGCGCCAACGCTAAAAGGCATTCCGTCTTCCACCGTGTCCGCCTCGCTAACCAATTCAGTCGCTCATTAGCGACAGGCCGACCCAAACAACCCAACCCTGAGAAATTACCATCGGTAGAAGTAAACAATAATTCTCAGAAATGGGAGACACCTGCGTTATCGATTAGAATCCCGGGTGCTGAGAAGCTAATAGTGGTGTACATGACCAGCCTCCGTGCGGTGCGACCGACCTTCGAGGCTTGCCGCACAGTTCGTTCCATTTTACAAGGCTTCCGTGTAGCGGTCGATGAGCGAGATCTCTCCATGGATTCATCGTTCAAAGACGAGTTAAAGAAGATCATGTCGCAAGGAGGGGAGGCGTTTCAGAACGGCACAGTAACCCTTCCTAGGGTTTTTATCGGCGGGCGTTACGTGGGAGATGCGGAGGATCTCCGGACGATGAATGAGACCGGGGAATTGAAGAAAATCGTTGAAGGGTTGCCGGCAGTGTCGCGAGGCGTTTGTGAGGTTTGTGGTGATTTCAGATTTATCATCTGCCATGATTGCAATGGAAGTCGCAAGTGCTACAAGGAGAAAGGTGGCTTTAGGAGTTGTACGACATGCAATAAGAATGGTTTGATCAGGTGCCATTCTTGTTGGGCGGCTAAATTATGATCAATCATCTTTGGTTATTTTCTTTTATAATCAAATATTAGGATATATATATATATATATATATATATATATATATATATATATATATATATATATAGAGGAGCGTTCAAATAAAAACTTGATTCATTTGTGTAAACCGTGTAAACCAATCTCATCCATTCATTTTTTTGATCAATGGCTAAGATTACATTACTTTATTTTAAGAAATTAAAAATTAAAAAATAATTAATATTTATTTTATTTCATCAATAAGGGTAGAATCGGTAAACAAATTTAATTCATAGTATTTTTTATTCAAGACAACTATATCAGGTAAATTATATTATTAATGAAAATGTTTCATCATCATGAATATATTTCATTAACTATTTTGCAATGAAACATTTTCACATTGAAATTTTTACATGCTTTCATAACGAACAAAATCCATTATGCATTATTTCATCAACTATGAATCTATTTCATTACCTATTTTACATGAATCTATTTCATTAACTAATTTATTAACTATTTTATTAACTATTTTACATGAATCTATTTCATTAACTATTTTATTAACTATTTTACATGAATCTATTTCATTAACTATGCACCCGTTTCATGATACGTATATTTCATAACGAACAAAATCCATTATGCACCCGTTTCATGTTCATTCTACCAACTAAACTGATCAACTTCGATTACAATGCAACATTGATCACCATGAAACTAGTTC